TCGGGGTCACAGTCAGCTACGAAGAAAATCGCCGAAAAAGTCAGTAGTATCGTTCTAGACACCGAGAGAATCACTTTAACAACAGTACCGTATCGTCTCTATCTCTACACAGTCGAGTATTGTCGCAATCGCTCTATCGAGTACATCACCGTGAGATACTGAGTTAACGCTCCTAGTAGCGTCTCTATTCGAGTCAATCAACTATTAATTTCGAGTCAATTATCAATCATTTTGAGACTATAATCAAGTGAATTATCAAGAGAATTATGAAGTGCAGTGTAGAGACAATTATCGAATTTAAATTGAAACAATTCAACGAACAGTGTACCTTTATAAAATTTCTAGACGCGTGGTTTACACCACAAATAAAGTACATCACCAGTGGGTTTTTAGTAAATCGCGTGTTCTTAATTTTCACACCTTTTCCAAATCACTTTTCCCCAACCCGCCTAAATTTTTAGCATCAATCTCAAACACACCTTTTTTGTAGCTCTCATTTCGATTTACAAAAAAGTTCCCAAGAAAAATTCCTCTATCTGTTCTAGATCCTGAGATATTGATCAAAAACTAACCTCCGAGAAAATCATTTTATCTCTTCGGTAATGAATTGTATAATCAGGCCATTACTTCAAGGTTTTTGAGGTTGTAGCGCACTGGCGCTCTACAACTTCATCAATCTATACCTAGAATCAAAATATGGGCCGAGATGCACTCTAATGACATGTTCATAATCTTGAAAAATGAAATTCAGAAAATGACAGTTTTCGGATAATGACCCAAGTGTGGCCCATTATGGGTCGAAGCAATAACACCCGACCAATTCTTTTCTTTTAGTTTATTGGAAGGGAATCGCGAATTTCGATGGTTTCATCTGAATAACTAATAAACTGTTGAGACGAATGTTTTCATAATCTAATCAGGTTGAAGTTCTGAGAAAATACATGGATTACAAAGGAAAAAAATCGAATCGTATTGTTTGGTTGAAAGAAATCATACTACAAAATTTCGAAAATACGCACGCACACACTTCCATGCCAGTTGGAAAACGGGCTAAGTGGGGTACAAGTCTGGGCTTGCCAAGTCCCAAGCTTGGACAGAGGTTCGGCCATCCCTGAGGATCAGGGCTTGCGTCTTAAAGTTGTTGTCGTGTAACTTTTTTTTTCAACAGTTTTTTTTTAATTCTTATCTTAAATCGCTCTAAAAATTAGCGGTAAAATAAGCCCATTATAATTGCAATTGACCATCTCAAACTTGAGATAAATTTTTTTGAATTTTACATGTTGTTAAATGCAGTTTCATCGTTTTTAATTTTTTAAAAAACAATCATTCGACATTTTTTATTAAAAAAAAACAGTGTAGAAATAGTATCAATCAATGCACAGAAAAAAAATGAAATTGATTGACCATTTAATTTACGAGAAATCATCATAGAAAGTTTTTTCCCCCCAATGGGCGGGGCAAGTGAGTTCAGTATGCGAGTCGTGACAACAATGCAGCTTCGAATCGGTGGCGCGGATGTATTTGAAATAGTCGTGTTATAATGAGTAGTCAAAAAATTCGGTAATTCAGTCTTTTTTTACTGACTATCTACAAACACTATAATAATTAACAAACATGGAAAATTGGAAAGTATAATAAAATAATAGATAGTCATGTGTTATTTGACTCGCGACTCTCAAAAAAGGAAATAATTTTATCAATAACTTTTTTAGCTCTCGTAACTCGGGGTTTGTTCATGTCTTTCGTTCTGATAATAATTGCATCAATCCTCCTTTTTGTTTAATCACTGTCAACAACATGTCAAATGAGAGACCAGAGTTGGCAATTTTTTTTAACATGTCAGATACATTGCTCTTTAAAACCATTAACGAAGGTAATAATGTCAATGCTTTTTCTTTGGTAATTTCCGATACGATATACTCCAAGTGCGACTTTTTTGCAAGGAATAAGTGTTCCTTGGTTATTAATTTCTCTGACAATATTTCTAAAACTTCCACATCAAATAGTGCTTCATGGAAATTACCACTAATTTCCAGAGAACGGATTCCAGAAGAGGATGGAATTGAGTCCCATTCGTTTTTCATTCTCAATATTTTCTAATGATGGTATTATATTTATGTCATAGGTGCCCAGAATCACGCGATTCTAACCTCGCTTCGCTCGGTAGAATCGCGGGTTCTGGGCCCTATAACATAAAATAGTATACGAAACTCCTGCGTAATAGTGTTTTTTGACTCGTGGGATTGTAAAACTCGCCTTCGGCTCGTTTTACAACTTCCCATGAGCCAAAAAACCCATTACGCACTTGTTGCGTAATATACTATTCTTTACAACAACTACATTTTAAATGTTCGCCAACGACTGAAAGCTCAATAATTCTCCTTCCTGAGCAAATATTCATTTTTTCATTCTCTCGTTCAACCTGACTTGTATTTGCGACAGTCTTGAAGTTTTTGGTTTTCTTTGGCACGCACCATTTTCGAAACAAAATTTCGCTGTTTATTCAATACATGCGCTTTCACAAACCTCCCTTTGTGCCTCAGCCGATTCGACATTTTTCCCATTGATTTTATAATACTCACTAACATAAACCACGAATTCCAGCAGGTTAGGAGTCACACGAAGAGAGACATACGAAGAGAGAGATACACTGCGGGTAGTTGCCACGATCGACACCATTCGGCGTTAGCTGTATGCGCACGTATTCATGTATAGTACATTCATATATGCGTGAGCCAAGTCGAACTGTACATCAGCAAATTTTGTGTTTAAACACGGGTTCTTCGTTTAGCGGGATACCAGCCCAAAGCGTGGAAAATTTCAAGTGTGACTTTTTCGCGACGTCAAACTTAAGTTAACAAAATCGGTTCTTCAGCGATGATTACGTTAGGGTTCGATAGGTAGGGTACTATTAATCGTAAAAATCATTCTAAAAAGTGTTAATTATTTTGTTTTAGTTATTATTGATCATTGTCATGAATAGTTTGGCAGCCATTCCGGCGCCAGTCTCATGCGGGTATTGATTTTTTTTCCTCCTTGAACCGGTTACAAATGCTCAGAAGTAATATTGAATTACTTGTATTTCAATCACTCATATCATAGCCATGTAATTAAGTAATGTTTAACTGAGTTTGGCCAACGACTGGCAACGAACGTTGGGCCGAGATCGGCGCTCAGACCTGGCCTGATGTTTTCGTCTCAGGTTTCAACCAAGTCTGGCGTGGTCCCGACTGAGGACCGGGCCCTGGAGTTCGGCAGTCGGCCGCCGGGCTTGGACCGAGCTTGGCCGGTTTGTTGTTTCCTACCTGGGCTGAAGTTCACAAAATGATGAGAAATCATAAAATTTCCACATTAGATTTTCGGGGTCATGAGTCTTCCCGACCCTGTAGATCGGGAAGTTAAATGTGAAAGTTTGAAAATAGTATCACTGAACACGGAGAGAAATTTTCTAGAAAAATTCTAGTACGAGTACTGGAAAAAATCACAATCTACTGGCTGTGAAAAATTCTAGTGCTGTTAAAGTAAAATTTCTTAGTATTTTTGATAAAAATTTTGGGGATTTCTGTGAAATTTTTACAGAAATACGGGGAAAAATTCACGTTTTCCCCAATAAAATTTCCAGTGCCGGCACTGGGATTTTTTCCCGGCTCTCACTTTGCGCCTCTTTTCCCGTGCTAGCACTAGAATTTTTCTAAAAAATTTCTTTCCGTGAATACGAAAAAGTTCCTTCTCAATCTTTTCCAAAACCACAATCCCCTTAAACACCTGGTTTAATTCGCAGATGATACTGCGATCATCGTGCACAGAAAAACTTGGAACGCAGCAACTAAAAACCTCTAAGACCTCACAGATAGGATACAAGTATGGTTATTAATAAATGGCGACTAAACCTCAACCAGTCCAAATCTCAATACCTTCAGTTTTATCTAAACCCACAAAAATCCAACTCCCATATTACTCTCCAAATCATCCAAATCCTTCCATCCCCTCATACTAAATACCTTGGAGGTAAATTTGACTATAACCTCAACATCAGAGTTCATGCCAGTATTGTAGAGAAAAAAATGCATTGCCAGTGGTTCCAAGTTTCGAAGCCGTACTTACAAAAAGAAAGGCCTCATCACTAAATATGTCGTTAAAATTGATAAGGCTACAACAAATCATCAGTATTGCCGAAGATTCCCGGTGGCTTGGCGCAGTGGGTAAGTTCGTTACCTCACATGCGAAGGGTTCAGGGTTCAAATCCCGGCCGGGTAGAATGGTGCGATCTAACCATTTAAAGTTTTAATCATCATCGCAGTATACCCTAACCGGGTCGAAGCGATGTAAAATAATGATAAAAAAAAAAGTATTACCGAAAGTACAACGCTTCGTAAAATGACAAAAATTCGTCATCCCGGCAACCCTCTCCAGAACCCCCTCCTTTACGAACGTACCAAAATCGAACCTATCCTCGACAATTTGACCAATTAATATTCAATTTTACAATAAATAAGCTGGACCACATTCTTGACCTTTACCACAAGCGTAAGGCCAATATTAGAACCCGGTTCAAATATCCTCCCTTCACCCTCCTCGAAAATCTACAATTCATCCGTAGAGATCAATATGGTAATGACGCCTGGGGAGGAGTAGCGCCGGAATAACCAACTATTTTCTGTATCTTCAACTATTCTCTGTATCTTCATCCATTCATTCGAACCAATTAATGTATCATCTTCGCCTCATTAAACTCCAACTAGACTATCAAAAATAGAACGAAAAACTTATGTCCATATGGAAATACTTAGCTAAAGGCCCTTGGGCGATGGCGTATTGTAGGAAAATTATTTTTTTGTGGATTTTTCTTGTAATAAATTTCGTTAAAAATTAAATTAATTACGAAAAAAAAACAGCTAAAAAAAAAGCTGATTTCTAAAACTTTTTCATTGATGATACTGTTCTGAACGTCTTATCTCTCCGTCTCAATTATTGAAAACTTGAATAATTTTTTTTCAAAGGATAGTGAACCAGAGTGGAAAGAAAACGTATTCACGGAATTTGGTAAATGGATGGACGGATGGGAAACACGAAGAAAACGATGTGCAGGTCATGACTGGGCCATAATAGCGCTTCACCAGCCCTCAATCATCCGAGGATTTTGCGTAGACACCGCGTATTTCACTGGAAATTACGCACCCAGAATCTCTATCCAAGCAGCACTACTCAATGATAATGGTAAGTCTCTCATTTTTTCCTATAATTGTGTTTTCTTAATTTCCTTTTTTTTTGTGGCCAATAGATGTCAAATTATTTCCCAAACGATGCCGAGAAGTGGGAAGTGCTGCTACTGTCCAAGAATCCCAAGCAGTTTCACGTTTGAAGAGTGAGGTATTCATACTTTATTTTCAGATTTTTTTACCTATTTCCAATAACATGTCCGTGCATAGTGCATTTGGGGAGTTAGGTAGAGTGTTGCTAATAGAGTAACCGCTTGTACCGACAGGGGTTTGCTACTCTTATGTTCTCTAGGGTGGGGGTCATTCTGCCGAAAGCGTCAAATTACCGACAGGGTCAAGTTACCGACACGGGTATGGCTGACGGAAATTCTATAGACCATTGAAATGTGATGGCTCGTTTACAATAAAAACATTCTGTTATTAATATAAGTAACGTTTTCCAGTGTCTGAAGGTTAAAAAACAGTTAATTTTATATTTTTTAATTAAAAAACTCTAATTTATCCGCGAAATGAGTAAGTGATGACAAAATTTGTGCTCATTATGTGGAATTACTCCGANTCCCTAGACCATTTAAATGTGATGGCTCTTTTACAATAAAAACGTTCTGTTATTAATATAGGTTACGTTTTCCAGTGTCTGAAGGTTAAAAAACAGTTAATTTTGTATTTTTTAATTAAAAAACTCTAATTTATCCGCGAAATGAGTAAGTGATGACAAAATTTGTGCTCATTATGTGGAATTACTCCGATTTGCACAAACAGTGAGGACGCTAGGAAAAAATGTCGAACGCACAAATTGTCGAGTGAGAATGCGAAGGTGCCGCCATGTGGCGGCGATGCACTGAAATGTTGTAGGATGGTAAAAAAGGGTTTTAAAGTAAAAAATGAGTAAATAAATATGAAAAAATCATTTTCGGGTGCAATTCATGATTTAAAACCCTTTTAATGAGTATTGGGCATCTTCGAGAATGCTCCGGATCCCCCCCCCCCCACTACACCGCAGCTCGGGTTATAATTTTCCACGGGGAATAATCATGTTTCTGGAGTCTGGGATGCATCTCTTGTGAAATCCACGTGGTCACGATGACCTCTGGATATTTAAACCATCCCCAGGTCACTCTTAAACATTCTTTGAATGCATTCTCGGAGAATAAACATGTCCTTGGCAACTTTGGACCATGTACTTTGAAATCCACGAGGTCCCGATGACCACTGGATTTTCAAACCACCCCCCAAGTCATTCTTACGCTTTTTTCAATAATTCCACGGGGAATAAACGTGTCCTTGAAGACTATGAAGCATTTACTTCGAAATCCCCCGGATCCCGATGACCGTCGGATTCCCAAATCACGCACCAAGTCCCTCTTACACATTTTTTGATTAATTCCTCGGGGGATAAACGTGTTTTTGGAATCTCTGGAGCATGTATTTCGAAATCCCCGGAGTCCCGATGACCACTGGATTTCCAAACCATGCACCAAGTCCCTCTTATGCATTTTTTAAATAATTTCCCGGGAAATAAACGTGTTTTTGGAACCTTTGGAGTGTGTATTTCGAAATCCCCGGAATCCCGATGACCACCGGATTTCCAAATCACGCACCAAGTCCGTCCTATACATTTTTTAAATAATTTCTCCGGGAATTAACATGTTTTTGGAACCTCTGGAGTATGTATTTCGAAATCCTTGGGGTTCCGATGACCACTGGATTTCCAAATCACGCACCAAGTCCCTCCTATACAATTTTTAAATAATTCCTCGGGGAATAAACGTATTTTTGGAAACTCTGGAGCATGTATTTCGAAATCTCCGGGGTTCCGATGACCACTGGATTTCCAAACCATGCACCAAGTCCCTCTTATGCATTTTTTAAATAATTTCCCGGGAAATAAACGTGTTTTTGGAACCTTTGGAGCGTGTATTTCGAAATCCTCGGGGTTCTGATGACCACTGGATTTCCAAATGACGCACCAAGTCCCTCCTATACATTTTTTAAATAATTCCTCGGGGAATGAACATGTTTTTGGTAGCTCTGGAGCATGTATTTCAACATCCCCGGGGTTCCGATGACCACTGGATTTCCAAACCATGCACCAAGTCCCTCTCATGCATTTTTTAAATGATTTCCCGGGAAATAAACGTGAATCCGATGGTCATCGGGACCCTATGGGTTTTCAAAGACATGCTCCAGAAGTTCCAAAAACACGTTTATTCTCCGAGGAATTAATTTAAAAATGTGTAAGAGGGACTTGGTGCGTGATTTGGGAGTCCGGTGGTCATCGGAACCCAGAGGATTTCGAAATACATACTCCAGAGGTTCCAAAAACACATTTATCCCCCGAGGAATTAATCAAAAAATGTGTAAGAGGGACTTGGTGCGTGGTTTGGAAATCCAGTGGTCATCGGAACCCCGAGGATTTCGAAATACATACTCTAGAGGTTCCAAAAACACATTTATTCTCCGAGGAATTATTTTAAAAATGGATAGGAGGACTTGGTGCGTAATTTGGAAATCCAGTGGTCATCGGAAACCAGGGGATTTCGAAATACATGCTCCAGAGGTTCCAAAAACATGTTCATTCCCCGAGGAATTATTTAGAAATATGTATAGGAGGGACTTGGTGCGTCATTTGGAAATCCAGTGGTCATCGGGACTCCGGGGATTTCGAAATACATGCTCCAGAGATTCCAAAAACACATTTATCCCCAGAGGAATTAATCAAAAAATGTGTAAGAGGGACTTGGTGCGTGATTTGGGAATCCGGTGGTCATCGGGATCTCGGGGATTTCGAAGTACATGCTCCAGAGTCTTCAAGGACACATTTATTCCCCATGGAATTATTGAAAAAAGCGTAAGAATGACTTGGGGGGTGGTTTGAAAATCCAGTGGTCATCGGGACCCCGTGGATTTCAAAGTACATGCTCCAGAGTTGCCAAGGACATGTTTATTCCCCGAGAATTCATTCAAAGAATGTTTAAGAGTGACCTGGAGATGATTTAAATATCCAGAGGTCATCGTGACCACGTGGATTTCACAAGAGATGCATCCCAGACTCCAGAAACATGATTATTCCCCGTGGAAAATTATAACCCGAGCTGCGGTGTAGTGGGGGGGGGATCCGGACCATCCTCGAAGATGCCCAAAACTAATTAAAAGGGTTTTAAATCATGAATTGCACCCGAAAATGATTTTTTCATATTTATTTACTCATTTTTTACTTTAAAACCCTTTTTTACCATCCTACAACATTTCAGTGCATCGCCGCCAGATGGCGGCACCTTCGCATTCTCATTCGACAATTTATGCGTTCGACATTTTTGCGCTTTCACAAACCTCCCTTTGTGCCTCAGCCGATTCGACATTTTTCCCAATGATTTTATAATACTCACTAACATAAACCACCAATTCCAGCAGGTTAGGAGTCACACGAAGAGAGACATACGAAGAGAGAGATACACTGCGGGTAGTTGCCACGATCGACACCATTCGGCGTTAGCTGTATGCGCACGTATTCATGTATAGTACATTCATATATGCGTGAGCCAAGTCGAACTGTACATCAGCAAATTTTGTGTTTAAACACGGGTTCTTCGTTTAGCGGGATACCAGCCCAAAGCGTGGAAAATTTCAAGTGTGACTTTTTCGCGACATCAAACTTAAGTTAACAAAATCGGTTCTTCAGCGATGATTACGTTAGGGTTCGATAGGTAGGGTACAATTAATCGTAAAAATCATTCTAAAAAGTGTTAATTATTTTGTTTTAGTTATTATTGATCATTGTCATGAATAGTTTGGCAGCCATTCCGGCGCCAGTCTCATGCGGGTATTGATTTTTTTTCCTCCTTGAACCGGTTACAAATGCTCAGAAGTAATATTGAATTACTTGTATTTCAATCACTCATATCATAGCCATGTAATTAAGTAATGTTTAACTGAGTTTGGCCAACGACTGGCAACGAACGTTGGGCCGAGATCGGCGCTCAGACCTGGCCTGATGTTTTCGTCTCAGGTTTCAACCAAGTCTGGCGTGGTCCCGACTGAGGACCGGGCCCTGGAGTTCGGCAGTCGGCCGCCGGGCTTGGACCGAGCTTGGCCGGTTTGTTGTTTCCTACCTGGGCTGAAGTTCACAAAATGATGAGAAATCATAAAATTTCCACATTAGATTTTCGGGGTCATGAGTCTTCCCGACCCTGTAGATCGGGAAGTTAAATGTGAAAGTTTGAAAATAGTATCACTGAACACGGAGAGAAATTTTCTAGAAAAATTCTAGTACGAGTACTGGAAAAAATCACAATCTACTGGCTGTGAAAAATTCTAGTGCTGTTAAAGTAAAATTTCTTAGTATTTTTGATAAAAATTTTGGGGATTTCTGTGAAATTTTTACAGAAATACGGGGAAAAATTCACGTTTTCCCCAATAAAATTTCCAGTGCCGGCACTGGGATTTTTTCCCGGCTCTCACTTTGCGCCTCTTTTCCCGTGCTAGCACTAGAATTTTTCTAAAAAATTTCTTTCCGTGAATACGAAAAAGTTCCTTCTCAATCCTTTCCAAAACCACAATCCCCTTAAACACCTGGTTTAATTCGCAGATGATACTGCGATCATCGTGCACAGAAAAACTTGATGGCGGCACCTTCGCATTCTCATTCGACAATTTATGCGTTCGACATTTTTTCCTAGCGTCACAGTGAGTATTGCTGTAAATTAATTAATTTGTCAATTATTCATTAATGATTGCCCAAAAATAATCCAAATTAATTGGATTATTTTTTAGCAAAAAAAAATAATTGGTGAAAAAAATTAGAATTCATCAATTGGATTAATTAATTTCCCTGGTGATCCAGGAGCCACGATATTTGTGTGGCTGTTACGTGGCTATTAGGATTGTCATTTTTGGGGCTAAAAAGGGGGATATGACAGGGGGACATGAAAGGGGGATAGACGAATTATTAGTTTATATTTGGACTGTTTATAACATTGTTTTCTATCAATTGATTAAAATTAATGTGAGTGTATATAATGATAATACAAGTCCCGTAGGGGGAATGCCGGGAGATGGCGGCAGCGTCGACATTCCAACGGGGTCGGTCAAGTCGACAGCAGTCGCAGCCAGAATAAGTGAGACCCCAATGGAGGTGGGGCGCCACGGTCG